TCAGAAGAGAGTTCTACACAGTTTCGAATCTCACTGTGCAACGCAGTGCATCGGCCAACAACCAGTGAACACACTTACCTGGTGTGCAGATGAGAGCGATGAGAATTGTGGTGAAGATGAGGAGCGTGAGATTCTGTCAGTGAAGGGAGGAAGCAAGGTAGGAAAGAATGTAAATATGAAGTTAGAAACGGCAGTCTTACCTTCATTGTTCTTGTCGATGTTTGACTATTTGTGTGAGTGAGTGAGTTAGTGAGTGAGGTGGAAATCCTAATGCTTATATAGTATTCACTTGTCCAACAATGAATCCATAGATTGATTGAAGTGTCGTTGACTAACCTGACTTGTCAATTATATGAATGAATGACCATTTAGTGGTTTCTTCACTTGATATTTTTTCGTGAAACTGGTGGACTGGTGATTTGTGGTTTAGGTGTCTCGGTGAAGAGATTACCAAGAGTTCTTCTATTTGAATATTTGTGTGTTGTTATATGATATTGTGTGTTTCTAATTACCCTGTTCATGTTTGTTTATGGAAACTGCATCATGCTTTATGATGATTCACCTTAGTGAATTAGAAAGTTTTCTCGTGCGATAAGTGGCTAGTTCGAGCATAATTTCCATTGGGTCATCAGGAAGTCAGGAGTGATTCAGCGTATTGACTCTTTGCACGGAATTTATTTCCATGCTGTACAATCGTAATCTCATGTATATAGTTTTTAGGAAATTTTATCCGGTGAGTGAATTGAACCATAAATAGGAACAAATAAAGTATTAATAGTATGAAATGTAAATACAATGATTGTGGTTATATTCATGTTAAATATGAAAGGATAAAACAAGTAATGTCATATACACATTAATTCTTAGGATATATAACTGTTGAAAGGGGCGTAAAATTCTGGGAACAATAGGCAAATCAAATTTTGCGTAACACGAAGTGAGATTTGATGACACAGTATGTAATAGTACCACAAACTCATTTCAATTGCATTCCATACTATTATTTCATGAAACCATACCTTTGTTTCAATAAGTGGATGAGCTGTCGAATCCACATATATTCTCAAAATCTCCCCAAGTGGAAAGCCAGAGTGGCATTGCTTACAATAATGTAAATTAGGTGGAAGAGAGGGTACACAGATGCTGCATTATGGTAAGAATGTTGACGTTTCAGTTCCACCTTCTCAGTGGCGCTGGAAGTAGTGCCAGCCTGGTTGTATCAGCCTAGTAATATTCTGTGAATGTTGGTGGAATGTGAGTGAACGTGTTTGTGGTGACAGTAGAACTATCAGTGTCAGTTGTCACTGTGATGTATGTAGGGGGAGAGGCTGGTTACTGTGTGTATTTTAGCAGGAGAGGTGTGTTAATCTGTGGATGGATGGATAATGCTGATTGTGTATTTGTGTGTACTGGTGTACTGGTGTGTGGATGTTTGTGTGCATTTGTGTATATTTTGGTCAACAAATAATGAGTGTTGTGTATTGATGAAATAGAAGTCGATTTGTTTTCAGTCAGTGTCATCAATTATTGACTGGTGGCGTTATTGTTGAGATTTTGACTTGATTCAATGTTATGGAGAGGAAAGGAGGAGTTCCGCGCATTGTAGGATGGTGATAATCAGGATATTAGCGAGAGTTTCTGTCCCTGGGTGAATGTGTGTGAGTATTATTAATATAAGTATAAAACTTGTGCACTGTGGTAGAGTGTAATTCCATTATGGGTTAATTTTGTTTTGATAAAGTCTCACAGTGTTATACAGTAATATTTACTGATGACGTTTCGAGCACAATTTATTGCTCATAATCATATCAAGGTAATCACACGACTTCCTAAATTCATTTATAATATTCCATTGTTTTTCTCTTGATTTTCACTTGAGTTGATTGGTAATAGTATTTTCCATATTTCAGGTATGAGCGACGAGCCATTCCTATTGCATGTGTTGGGTGTAGTCTCGATGAACAAGTCTTCAGTAATCAACCTCTCTCTCCACCTACCTAGATTACTTTTTAGAATTTTAACCCTCTCCCACCCTATTGTGTGGTTGTGTGTTAATGCATTGCAATTGCTGAGCTGTTTTCTAAATTACTTATCTTCTCGGGGTCAACCATTCTTACCTTAGCTAAACTCTTATTCTCTGACAATCTGACTACCCCTGACCTACTAGTTTGACCTATGTAGTTGACCTCACAGTCATTGCATGGTATTTTGTAAATAATATTATTTTGTCTAATTGGGTCAACTGGGTCCTTTAACCTACAGAGCTTGTCCCTGAGTGAGTTTGTAGGTTTAAATGCCACCCTAATTCCTATTTTATTCAGAATCCTACGTAGTGTCTCAGATGTCCCCTCTTTATATGGTATAACTGTGGATGACTTATATTCTTTCTTATTTATGTTATTATTACTAGTTTCACAATTATTTTTATTTTGTTTTTGGCCTTTAGTGATCTTCCTAATGAATTTTATAGGATAGTTATTCAACACCAACGCTTTCTCTATCTGTTTTAATTCATTATTTAGATCTTTTTTGTGCTACTTAGTGCCACTGCTCGGTTTGTTAAACATTTAACTAAGCCTGCCTTAACAGTTAAAGGATGAGACGAATTAAAGTCTAAATATCTATTAGAATGCGTTGGTTTTCTATAAACACTAGTGTGTAGTTTGCCTTCTTCTATTCTTTTTATCTTACAATCTAACATAGCTAATTCTCCTTGTTCATTTTCTGATTCAAATGTGAATTTTATTCCCTCAACTTGTGAGTTTATATGTGTCAAGAAGCTAGAGATGTGTTCTGTTTTTAACACTGTGAAAGTGTCATCCACATATCTCCACCATATTTTCGGAGTAGGGTTAAATGTATTGAGGGCACTATTTTCCCAGCTGTCCATAAATATGTCTGCTACGATAGGGGATATTGGTGATCCCATTGCTACACCTTCTGTTTGTCTATATATTGCACCTTGGAACTTAAAGATAGTAGATGTGAGGCATAACTGAATTCCTAAAATAATTTCTTCAATGGACAGCTTTGTCCTATGACTGAGTTCCGGATCCGCAGTTAATTCTTTTTTAACTGCTTCTAAGGCCATATTAACTGGTATATTAGTATAAAGACTAGTTATATCAAAACTAACCATTGTTTCATCATTCGCTAGTTGAATGTCATTTATTTTATTTTTCATCTCATATGAATTAGTTAATCTAGAGTTTGAACGATTTCTAATGGGGCATAGTATTAGAGCTAAGTGTTTTGATAGTTCATACGTGGGGGTATTTCTAAAATCTACTATTGGTCTTATGGGGTAACCTGGCTTATGTATTTTTATGGTACCATATATTCTACTAGCATTATTAGTTTTAGGCATTAAATTAAACCATTTAGACTCACCCAGCGATGGCGTATTAGTTCCGCTGTAGATTTCTTAACCTTATTCATTATTGTATCTACAGGCTTCTTAATTTCCTCATATGGACCCATTTGAATATGTTCAGTAACTTTTTTGATGTAGTCAGATTTATCCAATACTACGGTGGCGTTTCCTTTGTCAGCTTTTGCGATGACAATGTTTTTATCCTGTTTAAGACTAATTAAAGCTTCCCTTTCCGATTTTGTTAAGTTTGATTTTGTTTTCTTTTGATTTTTAGTGTTAATGCACATTGTGCTCGAACCTCTTCTGCTGTAGTCTTATCTATTGAGTTTAGTGCTGCTTCTATGTTAGTATTGGTTACACTGACAATCAAAATGTTGACTGTGGTTTATCACTCAACCCAGGCCAGTTTCTCCATACCGACTGTGTGAGAGATGATGATTTCCCCCACCGTCATCACTGCGACTGGACGATTAACCAACAAGACTGGCCCCCATGCAATTCCTGGGTATATGGAAGGCCGGTCAGACCTGGAGCCATACGCATATTATAACTGATAAACACACCTAACAATATGTTAGAACCAGTCAGAAGGCAAGCCTCCTGCCACTCACTCTGCAATTCATATGAATTTGTCAACTCCATCGAAAATGTCAGTGTCTCTAATCAAAACACTTTTTTCCTTCACGTCCTCTAGTGAAACACAGGGCGTCAACCTAGGGCTTGAAGTTTTCGTATCAGTGTTTATTTTTACATGTTGTATATGCTGGCCTCATTCCCAACCTTTCATCTTTATTAGCATTATTTCTGGCTTAGTGAGGTAAAGGAGTGCGTCGGCCTGGATCGAAACTCAGATTATGTGCATGGTCGGCGAGCGTACTAACCGCAATGCTACAGACGCCCACCCAAGGAGCTATCACTGTATACAAATATCACACTGATTAACACAATATGGAACACGTGCGAAAACATTGATTCATACAGGATCTACATTGGTATACTCAGTGACTACTTGAAGGAACTACAGTTTCAAATGCATCCTAATTATCCAAATCAATCCTAATAATGATGAAATATATTGGCGAATGAATGGTATATTAACGGGCTCGTTATTAGGCCCAGTGATTGCAGATTGCTTCATTTCAAAACACCAGAACACATAATTGAAGAAAATGGTTGACGGATTTGGGTTTTACAAAATATACGTGGATGTCACTTCCAATATCCTGATTAATGAGGGAATTCGGAGTTTAATCTGGATACTTTCGACAACTGCCACCCTAGAATCCAGTTCACATTCGAGAAGGAGTTATGCTCAAAACATTTTCTCTACATTCAGCTAACAAGACGTGACCAAGATGGAACACTAAAGAGATCCACCTACAGGAAGCCGACGTGAAGCGAACAACTCACTAACTCTCATAGTTCGGTGGCTCCATATGCGACATTCAGCATCACCAGTAAATCAAACCAAAACATCTACAGCATCTGGAACACTAAAAATAATGAAGACAGAAAACCACATCGAATATCGAACTACAAAATCCGTAAAGCGTAAACTAGGGAAACACCCAAAAATTCTCCTCCCAAAATACACCTCATAAATAGTTCAAACACGCCGACTGACAACATGGCCAATCTGCTACCCTGTCATATTCAGTCATATAATCATTCACTTCTCAAATCAAATTCAAATGTCACTCAGTCATCAAGAATTCACCTGACAAGAGACAATGGATTATATGCAAAACAAGAATCAATTTACCCGATTGGGTGTATATATTTCCAGCTAGAATTCCCGTCAGCAAAATATTCCCAATCACCTCTACCCCAATCAACACAAAATGAAGGTGAGTGTAAAATTCTAGTCAAGTAATTGTCTCTCTCTCTCCCTCTCTCCCTATCGGGAAATTCTATCAGTGCATCTTCCTCCTCATCTGCCTAACCGTCCTCATCAGTCAAACGCAAGGCTTGAGTAAGTTCACGAGATTTGTTAACAGCTGAATTCATACCGATATCAATGTTCCCATTTCGCGATAATGATGATCTGTTTCTCTTCATTTTTCGCCAACCCCTCCTCTCTGTCAATCAAAATAATGCCAAATCACAATACAAAATACTCAACACAATGCATCACATCCAATGCCACTAATGCACAAATGCACACTTGATTCAACTCAGTTCTCGATAAGATGTTCAACATTCTCCCTCCGACATTGAAGAAGCTGGTCAAGAAGGTGGTCCATTGGGCTTGTCCGAATGAGAGGGCACCGAGCGTAGGAGGCGGTGCATCAGATGTGACGACTACGAAGAAGGTGACGAAGACGGTGAAAGAATCTCGCAAATAATCGATCCTCGTCGGGGTCATCATCCAATGTTGGCATATATTTCTGGTCATAATGAAGCTGAATTGTGCGAACTGCCAACTGTTCAATATTTCAGATATTTTCACATAAATTTAGTTCGTTGCATGCATTGCTTTATTTTCTTGTTGGATGGAATGCTATCCTAGACGGCACTTAGTGCCGGCCAACATTTTTTTTGACGGTGTGCAAGCTCTGTAAATAAGTTCATGAATTTATCCGAACGAGACAGCAATTTGCATCAATTTTAACGTCCCAAATCTTGGAGAATCGAAGAACAATATCAAAGACTTATCGTGTGTGGTTACTGTTCACAGGTATATGGTCTGACCTTCAAAGGGATGTCCACAAAGTGATGACAGAATAACTTTCATTGGGAGAACAACCAGTCAGAACAAGCTATTTCTCTGCTAAACATAACCTGTAATAATGTACATAAAGATTTATGTGCAACTCTTGACTGTCTCAATAAACGACCTGTTGCCTGGCTCTTGTCTCCTGCCGTTACATATCTGTGTATTGGTGGTCTTGCTTTTGAACTGCTCTATGAACCATTTTAATGCACAACACTGTTCTGATAGTCTGGCATAGAGAATAAACTTATAATTTATTGACCTTTTGGCTTACATGGAAAGTGGCAACTCGAACTGCTGCACATCTGTGCAACTGCCATTAATGTAAGTGTTTGTTCTCTTGAAACCTAGGCTTTTCTGTACACCTTCAGGAAATCGAAGGTGTGCCTTCCTTTCTTTCCTCGCAATCCAAATTTTGAACCTCCTGTCAACTGACATCATTATAAGATTTGCAGGTATGTTGAAACTTTGCCGTACATAAACGAAATACGTTATTTATGCTATAAGCAGCTGATGAGAACCCAGCGAGATAAGTGATGGTACTACATTATTCTGCACAAACTGTTTTTCTAGCTTTATTCAATCTAATGCTACTTCGACCTGTGTAGTTGATTTTACACTTATTACATAATGCTTGGTAAATTATATTATTTTGTGTTATTAGATCTAACGGGTCTTCAGGTCGACATAGTTTGTTCCTCAGTTAGCTGATTTGTTTAAATACCACCCTAATTCCAGCCTTATTAAGAATCCTAGATAACGACAGCCGGTAAACTGCTTCAATGTGTCAATGCCTTCTACATGTTCAACAAAATAACTGCACATAAATATCAAATGGATATAATTTCCTAAAGCAAACTTTTCGCTGAACTCTTTGTTCTTATCTTTTCATATTTCTGATTTATTATTTCCTATGCGAAAAAGTAATTGGACAGTAGACTGTATAATGTTGAGTATTACAAGCAAATAAGCTACGCATAATCATAAAACTGATCATTACCTAAACGTCATTAGATAAATTATGATTATGGTGAAAGTTAATGAAAGTTAGCCAGGTTGGAATATGGGATCAACCCATTAAGTCAACAAATGTTAGTCTGAAACATTCTGAGATATGCAAGTTTTGAAGAGGTGAATAAACAGTTGGTAGTCCTAATTGGAACGTCTCAAATTTGTTCACAAGATCGGCCTAGTCTTTCATTTTGATTTTCGTAATTTCAAATCTATTCCCTACTCCCCATTAAAATGTTCTCTACTTCAAGCATTTTGTAAACTGTTTTAAAAAAAAGATTCATTTACCTAATATGCGTCTTGTTTAAGTTTGGTTGCATGGTCTACTAGTCACCTGTGAGAATTTCTAAGGTAGTTACTCAGTTTTATATAGTTTGAGTTAGGATAGCGTTGCAGATATCTAACAATGCGGAGCTATTCCATCCACTCCACTACGTTAGGACTCTTGCCGACCATGCACATGGTCCGAGGTTCGATCCCCCGCCGACACACACCTGATATCTATGGTCAGCCTGCAAAATTTGGGCTACCGATATCCATGCTGAAAATTCCATACTTGTACCAAAAATACCGTGTGGAATCAAGCTGTAATCAAAAATAAATAAATACAGACTACACTTAAAGACCAGTTGATGACGAGTTAGACTATAGGATTAAAAAATATGCTTATACTTGCTTTCTGTTTACATATGAATGCTTACTCCATTATAGCTGTATAGATCTTCAAAATGGCCAGCGACTGTTACCATACAAATATGAATATTTTGCAGAAGTATTAGCTCGAAATAATACTTCGCTAGATTGAAAGCACTCAAGTAATTGAAAACCTATTCCAGCACCAGTAAATATAAAAGAACTTGCAACCAAACCAACAACAAGATATTCAATTTATTTCGAAAAAGTTTTAAACCAATTTAACATTAAATAAGAAGAAGTAAATAGTCAGAATTAACAGTTAGAGACCTTGCATTAGGAGAAGAAGATTATTTATTATTCAATTGAAATTTCATTCGATTATATTAGAAATTTAACGTAATTCAACAAATAGGACAGCAGGAGCACCGGTGAACACGTACACAACGTCTGCAACACCCTAGTCGAATACCTCCTCGAATCATACATCTTCGTTGCCCCCAAAGTCCAACTCCTCTATGTATGCGAATACGTCGATTACCGGATCTTCGTACATATATTCCAATATCACCACCTACAGTTAAATAATTTTTAAAAGTTAAATTTAGAAAAAAAATCACAACAAACGAAGAAGATGAACGATTAAAATCTCTACTTTGAAGCGGTTGCCTGTGTTTAATTTCATACAGTGTTGATGGTTGATTAATTATACTGGACGGAATTGTTAGGTCTTTGTTAATATGTCCACTTCTTCATTTGGGCGAGTAATCATTGATATTCCTTGTGCAAGACGTGGTTGTTGTGACCCAAGTGGTCTAGAGAATGATACTTCGGTATTTGAAACAATGTGTGCAGAGTTCAAGTCTCAATAACAGCACTGTCACTCACGGGGGCGGGGAGTACAGGTGATGATTCCCAAATATGACAAAATGTGTATTCTAGATTCCACTATTAGTCACCATCCAATAAACAATAAATTCGATGCAATTAATTTGTTAAACTGAGCTTGACATGTTTAGTATTTGTGTGAACTGTTTAATATAAAGGCTCTCCAACTGGTGAGTCATTACCTCATCAAAGCCCTGGTTAGGTTTCATGAGGAAATACTGGATAGTTAATATTTCATGCAGACCATATATTATTTCTGCTGCTAGTATTATTTATTGTCATAAATTATTCCATTTCGCATGCATGTTCCATACTTATTTAGCACGATAGCCTACATCACTAACTTGGATTTTGTTGATTAACTCAGTACAGTTATTACAGTCACAGTCGAAAACCCTGAAAGTTTTAGCTGGAGTAATTAGTAATTCTACAAAGAATGTTCTTAGATTTTCGAAATGGAATTAAGTGTACTGAGTTCACCAAATGTTGGTCTACGAATAATATAAGAATAGAACTTGGCCTTTGTCGGACAACATAATTCCAGCATGAAGAAAACTTGGAAGCATTTATTTCCTGATACGAATTGAAAAGAAACAACAAAAGTTAGTGAAGCAGGATTGCTTGATTAATCTTTGTTGCATGAACGAAACTTATTTGATGACGTCTCAAAGAGTTATCATGTAATATTGATTGATGATGTCTCGAACACAATTTATTCCTCTTAATCATATCAACTTATCTATGGATTTAAGTAGATTAAAAATTCCCATTGAGTCATATGAAAAAGAGAAGACGTCCAGCGAAGGGACTGTTTGCGTCGAATACATTCACATAGCTGTACAATCGCAGTTATATATAATTATTTGTGTGTGTGTGTGTACACGATTGACACTAATATTTTCCATATCTGTGGTATTTGTCGTATTACTGCCAATCAAATTGAAATCTAAATGAATTATATAAACGAGGCTGGAAAGTTTTGTGAGTATCTTGATATGCTTATAGGTATTGAATTGTGTTCAAAACATCATCAGTAAGTATTACTGTGAGACTTTATCAAATAAATCTTCTTCATGATAATATAGTATCCTACCACAGTGGTGAACTCATAACACTCAACTCTATTGGGAAAGTCCTATACGAGATCTGATGAAATCTATCAAAGGGAGTAAGACCATGACTTCTGTGCACAGCTGAAGCACTAACGGTTCAAGTCGTTTATACGAGAATTCATTCATGCAGCAACCAAAAATATGGAATCATTCTGAATGTGAGTTTCAAATATTGATGAAATCTTATCAGTCCTAGTCACACCTGAATTGAAGACTCTCATTAACAAAATAAACCAGGTAAATGAGAAGAATTTTATCTTCAATATTCAAAGGAAGACAAATCAAAAAGATTCAATTAAACTGCAATCTTGAACACCATTCTGAAAATACACCGAGTCATAACATTCTAGACACGAACAAAGTGGTGGTTAATCTCTCTGGCAGAAATTTATTTGATTGTGAACTTCCCCTCTTTAAAAACGGACTCAATTGTAGTTTAAAAACAAAAGACATTTATTGGCCCTCGAAATAGTTCCAGCCATTGAACCGTCGTTAAACTGTGTGACATCCGAAAAGGGAAAGCGTCATAAGACACAAAATTACATCTGTTCTACAAAATCAGAAACCGAATACGCCGAATATGAGCAAAGACGAGTAACCGGCATTAAACCTACCACCGCAAAGAGAGGTAGATCGATGGTCATTATAAGAGAAGTTAGCAGCAATACCACGGTTGTTATGATCTCCGTAGATTATGGAAGAAACCTATTGATCACTTTAATGTCGACCACTTTGAAAAAGCTAACATGACAAAGTCAAGTGCGACATTGAATAAAGTGAAGGCTGAAACTAGAAAAATGTTACGATCATGAACTTTAGCCTAACGTAATC